GGGTAAAAGGGGGTCCCACCGATGCTCTCCACCCTGGAGCTGGTGCGGTTGTCCAGGTACTGCTTGGTGAAGCCCGAGCCGACATCCAGGGATTCCTTGGTTCCCACATTGACAATGCTGTGGAAGGCCACGCCGGCCGAGGCGGTGACACTGTTCAGTGCGGCCCAGCTGTCCTTCAGGAAGGTGGCCTTGATCTGGTCCTCCTGCACCAAGGTGGCTCCTGCATCCACGGAGGTGATGGTGTGGGTGCCGTAGTTGAGCACCAGCACCTCGGCCAGAAAATCGGCCATCTGGGTCTGGTTGTTCTCCAGGTGGCTGGCGATGGTCAGCAGCTGCTGCTTGAAGGCCTTGTCCAGGGCTGCCTCGGGGTCGATCTTGGCAGTGTAAACCAGGTTCCTGACTTGCACCCGGGTAGTGACAGCCTTGTCTCTCACCTGCTGGGTCTTGGTGCGGTGGAAGTCGCTGGAGAATTTGCCGTTGATGGCGGAGAAGAGGGACAGCTCCAGGTTGATGGAGGCAGAGGTGATGCTCTGGTAATCCTTCCAGGACTCAATGATCTCGGAGTTGATGTCCAGGTTGCTCTGCTTGCGGGGGATAGTGAAGATCTCGTCTGGGATGAGGTAAGATCCATCTTCTGTGGTCTTGCACTGTGAGTAGCCCAGGTTGAAGACTCTGCCCATATCCAGATTCCTGAGGTTATCCCAGCCCCCTCCTGGCAGAACTTCCAGACGTGAGAGTTTCAAGGTCTTGCTGCACACCCCAAACCCTGAAGAGGACAAAAGTTCCTGGGACTGCTCAGCCCCTGTCACCCATGCCAGCAGTGCCCAGGTGAGCAAGGCCCCCCAGAGCCCCCAGCCCATGGCTGAGCTGGTGCTGGGCCCTCAGCAGTTGGAGCGGAGGGACCGGAGCGGGGAAAATGAACTGACAGAGGGAATCAACAAAAGGGAAAGGAGAAGTGAGAACTGAGGCATGTGAGAAATGACAGAGTGGAAACTGAGACCAGGGGGTGGGGAGCAGGAAGGTGTCTGTCCCTCCCTCTGCCCCACCCAGGGGCTCTCTGCAGCCTCCTCTGCCCCACTCCTGTCCTTCCCCCGGGGTCTGCAGTGTCACCAGCCAGGACAGCACCTCCTGCTTGGGAATGCTGGGCCCCAGGTGCTGAGGGTACTGATCCAGCTCTGCCCAGCTGGTGCCTGGCTGGGCTTCGGGCTCAGCAGCACAGGGCAGGTGCTGCAAGTTTTGAGGAATAAACAGTTAAGGAAGTTTCTGCTGTGAAAATGGTGAGTCTTTCCATATAGACAGATTCACTTCCCCTGGTTTTGCTCCCGAGTTCCTCTTTGCAGGACACTTCTGCCTGGGAGGAGGATGAAGTGACAGCTGTGAAGGAGCATAGGGACCATAGGTGCCTGTGTTTTTTGGGCAGGATAATGCCAGGAGTAGGGGGTGAAAGGATAACAGGAACACCACTGGGGATGTTCTTGCTGGCTCCAGCCCCTGGAGTAGCTAGAAAACCCTTGTGCAGGGATTCTCATCTGCACTAGGATGTGCAAGCTATGTCGTCACTTCACCTAATATTGGGGAAGATGAAACAAGAAAGCCTTATAAATATGATTGCCTGGCAAAAGATTTAGAAAATACAGAGATTGAGATGGTAACAAGTTTTGAGATACCAAACCTTAGTTACTGAACAACTAGAAAACAATAGTACAGCTGGGATGAAAGCAATCCCCGCTTTTGATTGAACAATGCCCTTACCTACAGATAGGTCCAAAGGTCAAATAGACTGTTCTATCTCACCCCCAATGTATGGTTCATCCCACACCTGTAACCCTCCCCTGAAACATCAAGTGTCTGTGACCCCCTTGGCCTAAGTCTTGCTCAACCCTACCTTGAAGCCCCTGATAAGGAGTCCCTGAGGAGCCAGATGCTCTCTTGCAACTCCCCCTCTCCTGGAACACCCTCTCCTTCTTGGGATCCTCTCTTATCTCCCCCTACCCCTTGCCTCTCCCTTCCCCCATGCCCTCGGGCCTGCCACGGGTCACGTCTGGTGACTCCAAGCAGGGCCTTTCACCCTCTCTAATAAACCAGATATTCTAAGAGCAGCCTTCAGAGATCTCTCGTCTCCATCCAGCCAAACCGTCCTGGAGTCCAGAGTCCTCCTTGCAACCTAAAACCTACCCCTGTGCCATGGAGGCAGTGGAATGTCAGTTTTTTCCCCTAACACTTTGAGGTGGTGCTCTGAATTAACCTATTCCTGCCTTGCTTCTGATGGTGAGATTCCCATCAGTCCCATGGCATCTCTCCTGAGCACTGCAGCTGGCCAGAGGTCCCTCCTGACAGTGTGACAGTGTGACAGCAAAAACCCCACAGCCGAGGGTAACCAGGGGTTTTGGGGATGGAGAATTTAATGGCATCAGCTGGCAGCTGTGCCAGTACAATTGATGCAAAAGGAAATCCAAGACTTCTCCAGAGGGACTGTTTTTCCTGGGTATGTGTAAACAGAGACTTTTACCATCAAGTGAGTGAGGTCTGGGGCTGTGTTTCCAGTTTACTCTTAAATTTCCAGGCTTTCTTTCAGCTCCCCTGGCTGGGCCAGATGTGCAGCTGGCGAGGGCATCTGGACTCGTTTTGTGCCTTCTTTGGGGGTGAGGAAAAAGAGAAGAGTGTGAGTCTGAAAGGTGATGGTGTCATTTGGGGCACCTCAATGTCTGTGGTGGGGGAACCGGTGAGTGGAGAATGGGGGGGGGGAACAAGCGGGATCCCCCCAAAAAAGGGAGGTTATAGCCCCAAAATGCCTGAAAATTCATTTGTGTGTTAAACAGTAGAAAGTGTAAAGAGTCTCATTTTTATATCTATAAAACCCGCTATTTATTTCAAGATAAATCTGCTGTGTTATAGACAGGATTTCAGACTGTAAGGCATTCTGAATATGGATCCATGGGGCATGAAAATAAAAATACAAGGTTTTATGTATATAAATGAAACAATAAAGGACTTGAAAAAGTTAGACAAGAGTATCTGTATGAAGAACCTAGAAACAGCTCTGTGTACGCGGAGTTCTTTCTCCCTGCCCCCGCTGGAACACCCGAAATGCGGGATCTGGGACTGACTGAAATTGGGATTTATTGGCATCCCTAAAACCGCTGCGCATGCGCGCTGGCCGCTACACCCTCAGTGCTGCCGCCTTGTGGGCACACCCGGTACTGCAGCACGAGAGCTCCGAGCGCTTCCCGCGGCTCCGCCGGGACCGGGACATGGAGCTGGAGCGGGACCGGGACATGGAGCTGGAGCGGGACCGGGACACGGAGCTGGAGCGGGACCGGGACATGGAGCTGGAGCGGGACAACGACGGGGACTGGCCGTGCGAGGCCGCGGGGCCCTCGGCCGGGGCCGCTCCCGGCAGGAACCGCGGCCGCGGAGCCGGGAGCGCAGGCGCGGAGGCGGGAGCGGCAATGTCGGAGCCCGGGGAGCGGCGGGGCCCGACCGGGGGCACCGGGGGCAGCGGCGGCGGGCTCGGAGGTGAGCGGGGAACGGGGAGAACCCCGAGCGGGCGGCAGGGACAGCTCCGAGCGGGCCGGGGGACGGGCAGGAGCGACCGGGGGAAATGGGGGAAGTCTCTGTCCCGGTGAACGGATCCGAGTAGCAGGGGAGGGCTCGGTGTGCCGGCGGAGGGAGAGCTGCTTAAAGGATAAAGGTGCAGGGGCACGAGTGTTGTAAACCCCCCTGGCTCTCTGACAGAGCAAACCTTCCAGTGATCCCTCTGAGAGACTCTGGGATCATAAGGTCTTCCAGGGAAGCAAAACAAGCACAGAGATGAGGGAATAGCTTCCAGTTAATAATGATTTGATGGGTGTAGGAATGATTCGTGTATGTTTGACGCTCCCCTTTTAAATCCTGGAATATTTTTTAAATGATTCCTTTAACAAATGGTCTACATTTGAGAATTTAAATTTGAGAGGAAATGGTGCAAAATAAATACATGGAAGAGATCACGGAATCCCCAAATGGTTTGAGTGGGAAGGGACCTTAAGGATCATTTCATTCCATCCCCTGCCATTCCATCCACAGCCCACCTGCTCCAAGCCCCATCCAGCCTGGCCTTGGACACTTCCAGGCATGGAGCAGCCGCGATTTCTCGGGGTTTATGGGCACAGGGGGAAATTCCAGCAGGAACTGAGGAGCTCCCTTTGCTCTGTCCAGCCCCAGCAGGGCTGTGGGAGGCAGAGGATGTGGGAACAGGAGCTTTGCCACTGCCTCGGGGCAGTCTCTGCTGCCCCAACACGCAGCAGAGCAAACGTTTGTGGTTACACATCCCGTTAAAAGGAGCTGCCGAGCCGGGAACGGGAACGGGAACGGGGGCGGAGCAGGGCTGGCACAGGCAGAGGGGTGACATCCAGAGGGTGCCACCAGCCCGTCCCTGCTGCCCAGGCTGGGGATGAGCGGGCTGGTGACTGTCCCTGTGCTGGCTCTGCAGGATGAGGAAGCCAACCCTGCCGAGGAGGAAGAGGAGGAGATGTGGGAGGATGGAGACAGCGGCCACCAAAGGCTGGGGAAGGCACAAGGCCAGGTAGGAGATGCTGCCTTCCAGGGAGAGGGACTTGTCTGTCCCATGGGAATTTGGGGCGTGAGGCCAATGGAACAAAGGGTTTGATTCTATTTTCTTACTCAGGTTCTTATGTGCTTTAGGAGGTATTTGTGGAAAGGTCACTTTACTGAGTTTGCACTGGGTTTGAAGGACTGTGAGCCCTGGGGCAGAAATCCCTGCACAGCTTCTTGTCCCCCCTTGGCTCATCTGACCAGTCCATGGGCTGGGTTCCTTGTTTCCTCCTTATCCAGGCTCTGGATGAAATCCTTAATTTCCCAAGGGAGTGGAAAGCCAGCAGGATGTGAAACAGAGTTGATGCTTTAGGAAAGCCCCTCCAGCCTGGGAAGGAGCTTTTGGCTCTGGACACATTCCCAGTCCCCAGGAGCAGCAGGACCTGTGCTGTTCCCAGCAGGTGAGGCAGAGGTGCCTTTCCTTCCTCCCTTCCCTGCTGCACTTTGGCTTTTCGAGGGGTCTCTGGGGTCTGAGGGAGAAGTTCTTTGTCACTCCAGGGCAGAATTAGCCCTGGTCCCACTAAAAGCAGGAGGAATCATTCATTTTATCCTAGATTTTGGATACACATTTTGTCTTCTCTCTCTGTGTCTGACACCGTGTGGTGAAGCAGCAGCTCCCAGCCTTTTCAGTGCTGCTCCCAGCTTTGTTTGTAGCTGGTAAACAAGAAACAGTAATATGCTGCTCTGTGGTAATTGGATTAAGGACAAGGCCTCCCTCTTTGTTTAATATTCCTGAGAAAAGCTGCCAAGGATTAAAGCAAGAGCTTCCCCTGGTGAAATCCTGCCCAGTCCCACGCTGGCTTTGCACACACACAAGGCTCAATCCCTGCTGGAATCCCAGTCACAGCCCCCAGATCAATGTGCAGTTTAAGCTCTCACAGCCTGACCAGGACAATCTCTTGCCTCTGAACATGGAAAATCAGTTTTTCATTGTTACAGCACCAGCTCAAGGTAATTATGAAGTGGTGTAATGGTTTTTAAGTTGTGCACATGGAAGAAATTCACTGCAGCAGCCAGCACTGCTCTGCCTTCCTGGGCAACCCTGTGGGTTTGGGATCTTGAATTGTGGGTGTGAAATCTCCTCAGAGAATCCTCTGAGGCTGAAACAAAGACAAGGAACCTTCTGAGATGGAAAGAGCCAGAACAAGTTGTTGTGGGAAAGGAAAATTAAAGATGGTAAGTGCTAAAACCTTTGTTCTTCCCTTCTCCTGAGCTCTGTACTTGGGAATGGGTCAGTTCTGGAAATTTCCTGGAGACACTGGAGAATGATCCCTGGGCTGCTGAAAAATGGGAAAATCCCACTGGCAATTGCAGCCCCTGAGGGAGGGCAAAAAGAGCAGGACCTCAGTCTGTGAGTGTGTGAGAAATAAGGGAGGGACAAATGTATGGATCATCCTGTGCCTCAGGGCATCAGGAAAAGCCCTTGACCTAAAAACTGAAGTGCTGTTCCACAGGGAGCCCCTGCACAGGCCCTGGGAACTGGGCTCATCCCAGCTTCCCTTCCAGAGCAGGAGGAACACCCCACAGTGCTGTTTGAGACATTCCTGACTGGAACTGGGGCCGACTGGGCACTTTCCTGTTTTCCTGTAGGATGTGGGCCATGACATAAATTGGTTCCAACAGGGCCCAAGATCCCTGTGGGGTCTGTGGCAGGGACAACTCCCAGAGCTGGACAGGGAAGGGAACCTTCACCCACACTCCCAAAAGCTGGAGAAAGAAAAACACCTGCCTGCAGCTGGCTGCAGCTCCTGGAGCTCTGGGGATTCTGGCACACTCAGGGACATGGGATAATGCCAGAATCATTCAAACCTTGGGAATAATGGAATAAATATCACCCCTTGAGCCTGTTCCGGGCAGGCTCCTGCCCATCGGCCACTGGCCACAGATGGCTGGAGTCGAAGTGGAAGTGATGGAGGCATCCAGGAAATGCTGATTGTTTTTTCCTCACTTTGGCAATCTGGTCAGGAAAAATACGAATTGAGCTCTTCCAGCAGGGAAACATTTAAGCAAAAGGTGCTGAAAAGAATTGGAGTTTCTGAGTTTAAGTCTCCAACTTAAAATTGTCATTGGATTGCCACTGGTCCAAGTTTCATGGACTGGTTTCTGTGGCCAGAAGTGTCCAGTCCTGCTGGAAATGCACTGGACCAGGATGTCATTTTCACTTTATACAGGTAAAGACCCTCTGGATGACCCCCAGTGACCAGAACGACCAGACTAGTTCCAAGTGTTCTGTTTTTGGGAATAGCACAGGAGCCAGAGTAGCAGCCAGTGCCTTCCTTAGTCCATAAATCCCCAGGATGGACCACAGAGAAAATAACAGGAATGTGGAAATCCCACACACAGGGAGTTTTTGGTGCTCTGGATTACATTTTGAATTTATAATGTTAAAGAGGGGGTGTGGAATGGCTTCTTTTTATTGTCATTGTTATCACTGCTCTTGTTGCTATCACTGTTATCCACAGTTATCACTGCTACCACTATCATCAATATTAAAATATTGTATTTGTCTTGGTTTCCGTTATTAAACTTTTCTGATCTCACCCCCCGAGCTGGATTTTTGTCTCTGGTCTCTTCCCTATGCCACGAGGGGTGAGGGAGCTGCTGCTGGTGCCCAGCTGGCTCTGCCCGTGGCCCGGGGCACTCCTGGAACCTCCAAAGCAGTTGGACTGGGGCAGTTTTGGGGCTCACAGAGACACCCAGTGCTGTACTGGGGCTCAAAGCTGGGCTCATTTGGCCAAGTACAGAAATAGACATGGGGGGCTTGAAACCAGGGTGCCTCAGACAGCACTTGGGATCTCAGGGAGACCAGGTTCTACCTTTTAGAGGCCTGAAGCAGAGACCATGTCCTGTGTTTGGGAGGTCTTGAAACTGGGGTCAGTCAGCCAGAGTTTGGGCTAAACCAGAAGAGATTTAAGTGCAGCGTTTTGTTAGGCTTGACGGAAAGCCCAGAGGCCGTGTTGGTGCTCCAGGCGGGCTCTTTGGGCCAGGGCGAGTCCGTGTCTGTGAGCCCGAGCCGTGCCTTAGGCACAGCCCGAGCCGGGCTGCCCCGGCCGCACCGAGAGCTCCGAAGCAGCGGCGGAGCCCCGGGGCCGCGCTCGGGGCTCGGCGCGGGCACCGGGAGGGGTCCGGGGCTCGGAGCGGAGCCCGGCCCGGGATCCCGGGGGCTGCCCGGGCCCGGCCCGGCCCGGAGCGGCTCCCGCCGGTGCCGGTCCCGGTGCCGGTGCGGCCCCAAGCCCGCCTCAGTGCTGCGGGGCCGGGACCCGCAGCCCGCCCGGAGGGGAAGAGGCGGCACCGCCCGGGGCCCCGGAGACAGCGGCGGGAGCGGAGCCGAGGCCCCGCTCCCGGTGCCGCTCGCAGCCCCGGCCCGGCCCAGGTGAGAGGGGCGGGGCCGGGGACGATGGTCCCGCCGCCAGCCCGGGCAGGGCGGTCCCGGGGCTCTGGGGCGGTCCCGGGGCGGTCCCGGGGCTCTGGGGCGGTCCCGGGGCTCTGAGGCGGTCCCGGGGCGGTCCCGGGGCTCTGGGGCGGGCCCGGGGCTCTGGGGCGGTCCCGGGGCTCTGAGGCGGTCCCGGGGCTCTGGGGCGGTCCCGGTTCAGGTGCGCGGGGCCCGGGGCTCTGAGGCGGTCTCGGGGCTCTGGGGCGGGCCCGGGGCTCTGGGGCGGGCCCGGGGCTCTGGGGCGGTCTCGGGGCTCTGGGGCGGTCTCGGGGCTCTGGGGCGGGCCCGGTTCAGGTGCGCGGGGCCCCAGTGCGGCTGCGCGGGGCGGGGCCGAGGTCATTTAAGGCCCGGAAAGCGGCACCGCCGCCATTTGCTCTCTCAGCGGTGGGCTCGGCTGCTACTCGGCCGGGCTCTCCCGGCGTGGCTCAGGAGAGCCTCGTCTCGTCCTCTTTCTTCTCCCTCTTTCTCCTGCCCTTATCCTCCTCCTTCTTTCTCCCCTTCTCCCCTCTTTTCTACCCCTCCAACTTCTTTCTCTCTCCCCCCATTCCCCCTCTCCCTCCCAGCCCCCCTCCGCCCTCTCCCCTCTCCCCAGCCTCCCCTGCCCTCTCTCCCTGTTCCCCTGCACCTCCCGGACCCCCCCTCGTCCTTTCGGCTGTCTCCTACCCCCTCCCCAGCCCGCCTCCCCTCTCTTGCCCCTGTACCCCTCCTCTGTCCATCATCCCTCTCCCCACCCGGCCTTTCCCTTTCCTCCTCCTTCTCCCCCAAACCCCCCAACCCCTCTCCGTACCCTCCCAATCCCTCCCTGACCCCTCCTCTGTCCCCCCATTCCTCTTTCCCCCGCCGCCGCGGGGCTGGGGGCGCCGGAGAATAAAGCCCAGAGGGCCGGAGCCCGGCGCCCCCCGCTGTCCCCGGAGCCCCACCGGGGCCGGGCCCGCTCGGCGGGTCCCCCGGGGCGGTTCTCAAGAGCCGCCGGACGCCGCCGGGGCTGCGGCTTTGCCCCCATCGCAGTGGGGGCTCCCCGGCGGCGTCGGGGCTGGGGGTCGGGGGGGAACCCCTCCCGACGAGGGGGTCCCAGTGTGGGTTCGGGTGGGATGGGCCCCCTCCTCCGGAGGGGGTCCTGGGGGTGGGGAGGTTTAGGGAGGGAGGGGTCCTGGGGTGGGGGGAGGGTTGGGGGGGCGGGGCCCCCTCCGGGGGAGGGGGTCCCGGGGAGGGGGTCGGGGTGGGCCCCCTCCGGAGGGGGGGCCCGGGGGAGGGGGGTGGGGCGGAGGGGGGACTTCCCCCCTCCAGTCCCCGCCCCCTCCCCCGGACCCCTCCTCCGGACGGGGCTCACCCGGGCCCCCTCCCCGGGACCCCCTCCTCCGGACCGGGGCCCGGGGGGAGGGAGGGGGGTGGGAGGGGTGGGGGGGAAGCAGAGGGGGTCACGTCACTCTGCAGCGTGAACACACACAGATCCCCGCACAAACAAACGACCCCTCCCCTTCTGCCCCCCACCCCACCCGCCCCCCACCCCACCCCCCCGGGCCCCGGTCCGGAGGAGGGGGTCCCCGGGAGGGGGCCGGGGCCGACCCCGTCCGGAGGAGGGGTCCGGGGGAGGGGGGTGGGGCGGAGGGGGGACTTCCCCCCTCCAGTCCCCGCCCCCTCCCCCGGACCCCCCCCTCCGGAGGGGGCCCACCCCGACCCCCTCCCCGGGACCCCCTCCTCCGGAGGGGGCCCTGCCCACCCCAACCCACCGCCCCCCCCCAAACCCCCTCCCCCGGGGACCCCCAGCCCCCCAACCCCCCTCCCGGGGACCCCCAGTGTGATGTAGGGAAAGCCGGAGCCCCGGCGGTGTCGGGCGGTGCATTGGAACGGTGTGGGGGGACCCGCCGAGCGGGCCCGGCCCCGTGTGGGGCTCCGGGGACAGCGGGGGGCGCCGCTCCGGCCCTCTGGGCTTTATTCTGCGGCGCCCCGAGCCCCGCGGCTGCGGGGGAAAGAAGGAGAGGATGGAGGGCGGGAATAGGGGGGCAGAGGGGATGGACAGCGGGAGCCAAGGACGGAGGGCAGGTGGGGGTGTCGGGGTGTACTGGGCAGTAGGGAGAGGGGACAGGGGGAGGTGGGCTGGGGAGGAAGGAAGGGTAGAGGATGGAGTAGGAGGAATGAAGGCAGATTGAGGGGAAGGTGGGGGAGAAGGCAGCACGGAAAGGGGGCAGGGGGAGCTGGACTCTGGGGTGGGGAAGGAAGGGCAGAGGAAGTAGAGAGAGGATTGAAGGCAGGTAGGGAGAAACTAGTGGGAGGAAGGAGAGCAGGGAGAGGGGCCAGGTGGGAGCCGGGTGGGGGAAGAAACGTGGAAGGACGAGGAGAAAGGTGGAGGGGTATGGCAGGGTTGGGGTGTGTAGGGGGAGAGGAAGAGGGGGAGTAGGGGGGGACCGCGCCGGGCCGGGGGGGGAAGGAGGGGAGGGCTAGGGGGGAGAGGGAGGGGGGGGTAGGGGGGGGGAGGGTGTAGGGGGTAGGGGAGGGGAGAAAGGGAGGGGGTAGAGGAGAGGTATAGAGAAAGAGAAGCAGAGAAGAGATAAAAAGGAAGAGAAATAAAGAGCCCGACCCGGCCGCAACCTCCCCCACCGATCGCTGAGGGGCAAATGGCTCTTGAGGCGATTCCCGGGGCTTAAATCCCCTCAGCCCCGCCCCGCGCAGCCGCTCTGGGGCCGCGCACCTGAGCCCGCCCCGCCCTTCACACCTGAGCCCGCCCCGCCCTTCACACCTGAGCCGGGCCCGCCCTTCACACCTGAGCCGGGCCCGCCCTTCACACCTGAGCCGGGCCCGCCCTTCACACCTGAGCCCGCCCCGCCCTTCACACCTGAGCCCGCCCCGCCCTTCACACCTGAGCCCGCCCCGCCCTTCACACCTGAGCCCGCCCCGCCCCGCCCCGCCCCGCCCGTAAATCCCGGCGGATCCGCGCCCGCTCCGCTTTGGACGGGGGATGCTCATCCCGGGATGCGGCGGGACCGGCGCTCGGAGCGCTGTGCGGGCCCTGGGCCGGGGCTGCTCCCGGTGCTGTGCGGAGCTCGCGGCGCTGAGGTGGGGCCGGGAACGGGACCCGGGCCGGGGAATACGGGTCCGGGTCCTGCCGGTGTCTGCTGGGGGTCCCGGGGCGAGTGGGCGGTGGGTCCTGGAGCCGCAAGACCGGGGCGGGATTGGGGCAGGGATCGGGACAGGAATCGCCGCGGGGAGGCGGAGCCGCTCCGGGACGGGCGCGGACCGAGCCCGGCGCTGCCGCTCCCGCTCGGACCGCGGCCGGTGCGGGGCTGCGCTCCCGCCGGGGCTCCGGGCAGGTCCCGCCGCGGCCGCGGGGAGCCGGGGCTGTGCCGGGGCCGGGCCCGGCAGGAGGCGGCGCTTTCCCGGAGCAGGCGCTGGATCGCGGCTGGAAGCGGGCGGGGCGCGGGGACCGCCTGGGCCGGCCCCGGGACCCCTCAGGGGCGCCGCTCCCTCAGCGCCCCCCGGGAGGGGCGCCCTCTGGCGGACACGGAGCGGCGCTGCGAGTGCGGCGGCCCCCGGTGCGCGCTCCCGCCGGGCGGCGGCCCCCGGTGCGCGCTCCCGCCGGGCGGCGGCCCCCGGTGCGCGCTCCCGCCGGGCGGCGGCCCCCGGTGCGCGCTCCCGCCGGGCGGCGGCCCCCGGTGCGCGCTCCCGCCGGGCGGCGGCCCCCGGTGCGCGCTCCCGCCCGCGGGACGAGCGCGGCTGCATCGCCGCGGGCCGGAGGAGCCGCTCCGGGCCGTGCCCGGCGCTGCCGCTCCTGCTCCGACTGTGCCCGGGGCGGGACGGGCCCCGCCGGGGCTCGGTTCTGCTCGGGCCGCTCATCCGACATCTGCCAGGTGAGGCCTGATGCTCTCTTTCCTCCCCCCACCTTCCCTGCGGGTCGCACTCTGCAACGCAAAACAACTCCGTTTAAAACGCCAGTGAAAACTGTTTATTTCCAGAGCACAGGGTATCCTGCGTTAGAAAGAGCCACGAGGAGCATCAAGTCTCATGATGGTAAGTGACCGGCCCATGTGAGCATTAAACTCGGAATCCTGCTCCTCTCAGCAGCCTGCTCCAAGTACCTGAGCCAGTCTCAGGGTCAGGAGGAAGGTCCTGCCTGGGATGGGAATGGCTGCTGCCAGCAAGGGAATTCCTATGCAAATTGGCAAATTTTTGCTAATGCTGCTTTACACACCAGCCTCTAGAATAGCTCTAGGGCAGAACTGGCTGGCACCTGACATGACAGCACAAAAGTCTTCCCATAATCGTGATTTTCTGTCTTTTCCAGTATTTTCCTGATAGCTTGTAAAGGTCCTTGTGCCATGTCCCTTTCCAGGGAGAGATGAGCAAGCCAAGTCCTGAGGGTTCCCTTGGTCCATGGCCAAAGTTCTTCGGGAGAGTGCCGGGGCTGGTCCCGCCTGCAGAGGGGCGTTTCCTGCAGGTGAGTGTTCACAGCCCAAAACCTCAGTGGGACTGAGGCCGGGGCTGCTTCTCAGGCCCAGAGCTGCACGGAGCCCTCGGGGACTCCTGCTCCCTGCCAGGAACGTTCCTCGGTGTTCCCGGTGTGTCCCAGCGGGGCGGGAACGCGGGGCGGGAGGAGGCCGAGCCCCAGGAGGGGAAGCAGCCCCTCTTGTCCTTGGCACCTGCAGGGCAGGAGCTGTGCCTCAGTGTCCTGCCCGTGGCAGGCAGCGTGCCAAACGCATCCCGGGGATGGGCGCTGGGGTGCCCGGGCAAGGGGGTAGAATCCACTGAATTCCAGGAACTCTGTCAGGTGCCCCCAGGGACATTGGTAGAATGAACATTTTGAGGTAAAAATGAGGCTATTGGTAGTAGGCAGATGGAAAACCTTGAGGGGAAACATTTGGCTGGGGGATGAGGGTTATAAATATGAATCAATTCTATGAAATAGGAACTTGTCCTTGTCCACTGAGCTTCCTTGGAACCTCTGCTGCTTCCTGACACAGCTGGGATCAGATAGCTCTGCATGGGAATACCCACACTCCATGAGGCCATGTGAGGTTATTCCAGTAGGAATTCAGCAGGGAATACAGGGCTATCAGTACAATTCCTCTAAACAGCAAAGCTGATACTGAACCCCAAATCTGGGCACCACACAGGGAACAATCTTTGTGCTGCCCTGCCAGCCAAATCCCTGGGCTGGGAAATTTCAGCAGCTAATTTTTTTTTACAAGAAAGCATTCTTTCTCTACTCTGGAGATTACCACAAGGTTTACCCTAAACATGTTCCCTACCTGTATTGCCCCATTTCCACCTTAATACTTCCATTCTTTACCCTGTGGATGCTTTCAGTTTCTCCCCCCAGTAATTTCCCTACTTGTCCATAACTGATTACCATGAAGTGCATCCTCTCTGCTACAGATCACCTGAGATTTTACCCCTGAAATTTTCTCTACCTCTCCACCACTGAGTAGCTCATTTTTACCTCAAAATATTAATTTTCTACCATGGAGATTCTCTCAAGTTTTATCCCCAGATTTACCCACCTGTCCACAGTGATTCCCTCAGTTTACCTCAGGATGCTCCTGCTCTTTCCTAGAGATAATCTCACATTTTACCCCCCAGTTTTCCCTACCTGCCCAATACTGATTATCTCCTTTTTACCACAAAATATCCATTCTTTCCTCTACAGATTAACTCAAATTTTATTACAAAATGTCCATTTTGTACCCTCTTTGCCAACTAGATTTTAAAACCAAAACCACACAGGTTATGCCTCTTATCCCCAAAATGTTCATTCTGTCCCCTACAAATTATGTCACATTTTTTCCCAAAACCACTTATTGTTCCTACATAATTACCTCAGGGTTTGCCCTCCAAATTCTACCTAATGTTGATTACTGATCACCTAATTTCTACCTCAATATGTTCATTCTCTGCCCTACAGATCTTCCCAAGTTTCACCCCCAAAATTTCCTTGCCTACACCCAGTGATTGTTTCAGTTTGTCAGTGTTCACACTCTCTCTTGAGATTGTCTCAAATTTTACCCGCAAAATCTTCCTTACCTGTCCACAATTTATTGCCTTGTTTTTACCCAAAAATATTGTTTCTGAACCCTTAGATTGTGTCAGGTTTTGCCCCCCAAAATTCCCCTACCTGTCCACTACTGATTCCCTCATTTTTCCTTTAAGTAAAATTTACTTTTTACCATGGAGCTTTTGTCAAGATTTACCCCCAAAATTTTCCATGTGTACCTAATTTTTACTTCAAAATGTTTGCTCCACAAATTATTCCATAAATTTTTTTTACCCAAAAGCTTCCCAATCTGCCCATAACTGATTCCCTCACATTACCTCAGCATATTCATTCTCTCCTCTAGAGATTAGCTCAGATTTAGCCCCCAAATTTGCCCTACATGCTGAGTACTCATCACCTCATTTTTCCCTCAAAGTGTTCATTTACTCTTGAGATTTTGTCAAGTTTTGCCTCCAAAATTTTCCTTGTTCACTACTGAGTTCCTCATTTTTACTCCAATATATTAATTCTGTCTGCTACAGATTACATAGAGTTTTACCCCCAAAATTTTCCTTCCTGTACAATATTAACTCTTTTCTACTCCACAAATCGACATTCTCTCCCCCAAACATCACCTCAGCTTTTCCCTCAGAAATGACACCTTGCTCCCCTTGACATCCCCTCACATTTTCCTACACAAACAGTTCAGTGTCCCCTCCCAACTGCCCCAGGTTTTCAGCTAAAAATGTCACCTCTGTCCCCTCTGAGTTATCCCAGGTTTTCCCAGATAGGAGCTGCAAGGAATTCAGGCAGGGCAAATGACAGCAGGGAACAGCTGTAAATTCAAAGGCAGAAAGAGATCTACCAGCAAAGTGGGAAGGTTTCAGAAAACATTTCTGCAACTAATAACTAATAATTATTCATTCCCCAGTGAGAAGAACACAAACTCACAACCATTAAGGCCTGGCAGTTCCCTGAAGTGAGAGCTCAGCACACATCCAGAGGCAATTCCAGCACCTGAAAGGAAGAAGAAAAAGGTGATTTCTTCTCTTTTGAAATTATTTCAAGTTCTCAGGCCCAAACCAACCTTTGCCCTTGATTTTGGCTGGGTGAATCCTGAGCAGTGGGCACAGGGCCTGTCATTCCTGCTGATGGGAGTGATGCTTTCTGGGGGAAATCAGCTGATTTCCAAAGTTCACTGCCTGCCCCATGCCTGATCTGCACAGGAGAAAACCTCTTCCATGGAGGGATTTTGCTCCATCTAATCCCATCTGCCCAGGCTGTTCCATGTGGATGTTGCCAGGCTGGGGCAGCACAGGCAGATGCAGCTCTCAGCCCTCTCTGCTCCAAACACAGCTCTGGGCTCCTCTGCAAACTCCTCTGCTGTGAGGTTTTCTCCAGGAGAACTCAAGGAATGGCTCAATGGCAGATTAAGTTATCAGAGAGGGAAGTAAAGGATAAATATTCCTGTAAGAGCCTTTGGGATTTTCTGGGCTGAATTGGGAAGGGGACATTCGTTCCCTGCAGTGCAAATGCACAACCTCCAACACAAAGCCAACACTGTCAGGTGGGGTCTGAAAGCACCACCTGGACAAACCTCATTGTCATTCTTCCTTTCAGGGACTGTTTCATCAACCTCTGAAGCTGACAAGCCCAAAGGCTCTGGAGTCTGTCTGCTCTGGAACACAAGGATACTCCCAGGGATGAGGCACATTCCCAGCAAACGCTCCCAACATGGCACAGAGGCACCACTGGAGCTCGTGTTGGGGCTGGGAAGGGCTGCCAGGAGGACACAGCCCCCAGCTGGGGTGGCAGTGGCAGTGACAGCAGCAAATTCCCACAGGCTGATGGCACAACAGAGGGACAAAGGCCAGCAATGCCACGGCAGCTGCAGGTTTCATTGTGCTCCCTGTGCTGCCACATCCCGGCAGGAAAGCTCCAGGGGGGACAGAAACTCCCTGGGTGCACAAAGTGCAGCCTCTGTGCCCCTGATCCTGCTGGAACTCAGCTGTGGGGCCAGCCCCCAGGGTAAACACTGCCCTGCCTGCAGCAGCCTCAGGCACTGCCCCATTCTCAGCTCCCCCTGCCCCGGGGCTGCCACCACATTCCTGACCAGGAGCCAAAGGCCCCTTGGGACAGGGCTCTCTCTGTGTCTCAGCCTTGGGGACTGCAGGGACCAGGCAAGGACAGCCTGAAACCAGGGCAGATCCCTCTGGGGACAGCTGGGGACTCACCCCACACCACGGGCAGGACCAGGGGCCCTCCAGTGCCGGCTGGAGCCTGTTGGGTTTGGCTGCTCAAACACCAAAGCTTTGGGCAGAGATGGGATGAGTTAAGTGGTTTTTCCTGTCCTGAAAGAGAGGAGAAAATGGAAATTAGGTCCACTCTGGAAGTCAAAGGCTCCTGGCTTTCCCACTTCTGTTCTGATTGCCCACTGTGGGGTTCTATCCATAAAAAAATGAGAGGTGACACCACATAAAAATACCCCTTGTCAACATTTTATTCCCTACTATTTTAGTACATAAAAAGGATGCCATTTTTTCTTATTGCATTCTTTGCCTAATTTTAACAGAACCATTTTCATTCCAGGCTCCACTTTGGGGGTTCCTGAATCCTTTGCCATTGGACTTTGGACAAAGGAAGAGAAGGATCTGTTCCTCACAGGGATCATCCAATGGGGAACAGCCCCTGTGCCAACCCCAGCCTGGGCTGAGCACGCTGCCTCACTCCCCTGTTCTGGATCCTGGCTCCACTCCAGTCTGAGTTTTCCCCCATTTTCCATGCCTAGAGACAGGAAATTGTCCTGGTCAGGCTGTAAGACCTTCAACTGCACGTTGATCTGGGGGCTGTGACTGGGATTCCAGCAGGGAATTCATGGTGTTACAAATAAAAACCATTCCAGGGAGCGGCACTGACAAGGCTGGGAGCTGCTGCTTCACCACACGGTGTCAGCAACAGAGAGAAAACACAAAATGTGTATCCAAAATCAAGGATAAAATTATTCCTTCTGCTTTTAGTGGGACCAGGGCTAATTCTGCCCTGGAGTGACAAAGAATTTCTCCCTCAGACCCCAGAGACCCCTCAAAAAGCCAAAGTGCAGCAGGGAAGGGAGGAAGGAAAGGCACCTCTGCCTCACCTGCTGGGAACAGCACAGGTCCTGCTGCTCCTGGGGACTGGGAATGTGTCCAGAGCCAAAAGCTCCTTCCCAGGCTGGAGGGGCTTTCCTGAAGCATCACCTCTGGGAAGCAAAGGGCTATGGAAGACATGGAGTGAGAATTTACAATAACACTAATAGTAATAATAGTAACAATTGCATTAATAATAATAATAATAACAATAACAATAATAATAACAACAACAATAAGGAAGAGCAGCAAAGAGAGCAACAATAATTCCAAGGGAATTATTCCATGCAGGGAGGATGCTGAGCTTTAAATGAGGTTTGAGTGAGGCAGCTTCTCCTGGGCTCTCTGAAGCACAGCTCCAGGCCTGGGATTCCAGGAGCAGGGCAAACTGCCACTGTCCAATCCCTGGATTTGCCTCCTGCCAGCACTGGGCACACTGGGCATGCTTGGCTCCAGTGCTGCTGCCTCGAGGGATTGGGAATATGGGCATTAAACCCCTTCCCACAGGGCTGGCTCCGAGCTGTGGCTGGGGAAAGCATTGGGCACCTCTGGCATTTCCATGAAATCAGTTTCCATCATTCTGAAGATACCCTGAATAAACCCAGGGCACAGAAATGAACCATTCTCCATAAAGACAGCCCCAGGGAACACACAGTCATTCCTATGCCTGGCCAAACAAACCAGCAGCCAGTTTTTGGGGTAAGACTCCAGACTCGTCTCCCTCCCTGGCTGTAAAATGCTTGCAGAGGCTTTGGAGTTCATACAAGCTTGTCAGGATTTGGATATTACATTTAAATTCCATTTGTATACTAAGGAATTTGAAGTCTCCTAAAGGCACCTCCACTCACACTTTAATTTTAAACCCTCTACCAGTGGTGAATTTGGATGTTCTTTTCTTAGGAACACCCCACCTTCCTTAGGGAACTCCATATGGGAGATAAAATAAATGTGGACAATATTTTGGAATGCAGCTTCCAAGTCAAGTTCCCTGCTAGGAAATTACTCCAGCTCTCTCCTACCTCAGGCTGTTTTAAACACAGCCTGGCCAGAGTAAGAAAATAGAATCAAACCCTTTGTTCCATTGGCCCCACACCCCAAATTCCCATGGGACAGACAAGTCCCTCTCCCTGGAAGGCAGCATCTCCTACCTGGCCTTGTGCAGTCCCCAGCCTTTGGTGGCCGCTGTCTCCATCCTCCCACACCTCCTCCTCTTCCTCCTCGGCAGGGTTGGCTTCCTCATCCTGCAGAGCCAGCACAGGGACAGTCACCAGCCCGCTCATCCCCAGCCTGGGAGCAGGGACGGGCTGGTGGCACCCTCTGGATGTCACCCCTCTGCCTGTGCCAGCCCTGCTCCGCCCCCGTTCCCGTTCCCGGCTCGGCAGCTCCTTTTAACGGGATGTGAAACCACAAACGTTTGCTCTGCTGCGTGTTGGGACAGCAGAGACTGCCCCGAGGCAGTGGCAAAGCTCCTGTTCCCACATCCTCTGCCTCCCACAGCCCTGCTGGGGCTGGACAGAGCAAAGGGAACTCCTCAGTTCCGGCTGGAATTTCCCCCTCTGCCCATAAACCCCGAGAAATCGCGGCTGCTCCATGCCTGGAAGTGTCCAAGGCCAGGCTGGATGGGGCTTGGAGCAGGTGGGCTGTGGATGGAATGGCAGGGGATGGAATGAAATGATCCTTAAGGTCCCTTCCCATTCAAACCATTTGGGGATTCTGTGATCTCTCCATGTATTTATTTTGCACCATTTCCTCTCAAATTTAAATTCTCAAATGTAGACCATTTGTTAAAGGAATCATTTAAAAATGATCCCAGGATTTAAAAAGGGAGCGTCAAACGAACATGAATCATTCCTACACCCATCAAATCACTATTAACTGGAAGCTATTCCCTCATCTCTGTGCTTGTTTTGCTTCCCTGGAAGACCTTATGATCCCAGAGTCTCTCAGAGAGATGTACTGGGATTACTGGAAGGTTTGCTTGGTTAGAGAGCTAAGGAGGTTTACAACACTTGTCCCTCTCTATCTTTATACTTTAACCAGCTTTCCCCCGGAGCAGCGTTGTGGGAGAAGTTTGGAATTATTAGAAATGGATCAGGTTCACATTTTTTTCTCACTCTTTTCCAACTACTTCAAAATCCTTGGAACTACTCTCAAGCAAACCCTAGCAAACTACTGTGAAAACATCAATCAGAGGAACATCTTGAAAAGAGAAAACCACATCCAGCAGCAGCCAAAACATTCCCATTTCTGTTCTTACCTGGTCTCCAGGTGCTCCTCCCAGAGCTCCACACAGCCGCTGCCATTCCATGAGGGTGAGGAGGCAGTTTTGGACGTGTTCTTTGCCGTGCAACGGGACAACGGAGTCCAGAGAGTTTTGGTCGTCCCTTCCAAGACACCCCATGAGTCCATGGTACGAGCGGGCCCGGCCCCGGTGGGGCTCCGGGGACAGCGGGGGGCGCCGGGCTCCGGACCCCCGGGCTTTATTCTGCGGCGCCCCCAGCCCCGCGGCTGCGGGGGAAAGGAGAGGGGCAGGGAGAGAGATGGAGCATGGGGGGAGGAGGTGGGGAAGGGAAGGGGGCTGGGGTGGGTGAGGGAGCGGGATGATGGAGAGAGGAGGGTAGAGGGGGAAGAGTCGGGTTGTGAAGTGGGGCAGGGAGGGGGGCGAAAAGAGGATGGGGAGGGTCGGGGATGTGCAGGAGGCTGGCAAAGGGGGAGAAGAAGGAAAGAAACTGACATAAGGGGGACACGAAGAAGGATAAAGGAAGGAGAAAGTGATGGGGGAGAGAGGTACAGGACGTGGGAGGTGGGGGGGGCCTCACCCGGGCCCTGCCGGGGGAACTTGACCCTGCCGCACACCCCACAAGCTCTGAGGGAGCAAATGGCGCCGGAGGCGATTTCGGGGGATTAAATCACCTCGGCCCCGCCCCGCGCACCTGAGCCGGGCCCGGCCCCGCCCTGCCCGGGCTGGCGGCGGGACCATCGCTCCCGGGCCCGCCGCTCTCACCGGGGCTGCGAGCGGCACCGGGAGCGGGGCCTCGGCTCCGGGTCCCGCCGCTGTCTCCGGGCGGTGCCGCCGGGAGGGCCGCGGGTCCCAGGCCCGCCCGGCGGGATTTCCATGAGGACTCAGCAACCAACTCATGAAAAAAAAATAAATTGCACACACCAGAATAAAATCTAATTGACTTTTTTTTTTTCTTTTTTTTTTTTTTTTGAAGGAAAAAGAATCTCTTTTGGAGCTAAGGCTGCTCAATATTTAAGGGGAAATCAGGTTAAAACAGGTCTTTTATCTCTGACTGTTTATCATGTGTAAGTTGATAGATGCTAGATCATTCTGCTGTCCTATATACAAAGAGAAAGGTCTCCAGTTCTCCTCCATCCCTTCAAAACCAAACCTAGAAGTATCCTCCACACTCCGGCAACCCATGTGCCAGAAGCATTTTTCCCTCAGAAGCAAAAAAAAAAAAAAAGCAAAAGGATGCATTTGCTGCCAGTTATACCAATGATACTTGATGAAATCCATGAGGTTATTCAGTTCTAAATGGGGACAGAATTTGAGCAAAATTAATTTTCAGACAGCTGGGAATTTTGCAGTCTGTTTGTTATCTCCCGCAGGTAAAATGTCTGTACTCACTTGATTTTTTCAATTCCCTGCTTGCACCTCCTGGTTTCAATTCAGCTTTAGAGTTTCCCCTGGCAGTTGAGAGGCTTCTTTACTTCTAGAGGCCAAAATGAAGGTGGAACAGGCTCATGCCATATCTGTGTTACATCAGGAGAGGGTGCTCAAAGCTGGAAAGCTATGAGGATCCTCTCCCTTGGCATCTGTGCCACTCCCAGCTGTAAAACCTCAAATCCACACTTACCACGGCCACACTGAAACTGCTCTTTCTCCCCATACAGATTTGCTGAGCAGCTTTTTATAGCTCTGCATTACTATTAAAAAAGTATCATTCTAAGCTGGTACAGAAATAAAAACAGAACTTGACTGGGGATGGAGTGAAAGAGATTTCTTATATCTACTTGTAGAGTTAAACTTCCAAAAGCACTTGAATGTCTTTGGAGTATAAGGATGAGACCTTCAAGGTATGTAGATATTTATTTGCCATCAAAAATACACTCTAAGCTGATCCAATTTTCTAAAAACATTTATATCAGTACATTTTCCTTTCTTATGCAGATGTTTATAAATGAACATGATTGTTGTCCAAGGATGCAAAAACTCTGTCACCCTTCACAGCCCCAGCAGACAAACCAACCTGTGCAAGCTCACATGGACTTGAATTTAAAAGGTTAAATTTTCTTCTTGTTCCTTACACAATTTTCTTAATTTCTTACCAAAAAAACAGGAGTCAAGAACACAGGATCTGGAGGCTTTAACGGGCAATAGCTGGAAGCAGTGAGCTCTGCCTGCTGCCAAGTTTTATTATTGTGTTGTGCTTCTTTTCACAACAACCACCACTTCCACAGACACCATATTTACCAAACATCATCTCCTTTGAAATTAAACACTCATAACCCTGAAAAACACCAAATCCCGTGGCTGTATGTCCTGATGAGATCTGGGAGAAAACAAAGACTTTTTTGATGGGACCAGTCCCATTCCAAGAGCATGGGAAGCACACTGGTGAGGGGAAGGAAAGCACCAAGAGCTGAGCACAGATTGCAGTTGTAGGGAGCTCATAAATCAGTGTGCCAGCAGAAATCCAGAGTACACAGCAGCAGAGGGAAGGCAGACAGACAGCAGAGCACTGGCAGGAATGGATCACACACGGCACAGCCACCAAGGAAACAGAGCAGAGGAAAAGCACTCCAGCTTCTCCCCATATCAGCAACCCTCCCACAAGCAGCATCAGCACAGGGGGGAGGCTCAACCCTCAGCCTTGCTGGTGGCCAGAGATTTTGGGTTAGCAGTGAGCAGCTGCCAGAGAGTTCTCAGAATCCTGTGGAAAATGCTTCTTGGAGATATCCCAAAGCTGCTGGAGGGATCCTTTGTATGGCAAACACTGGCTGCATTCCCCACCCTCCATTACCACACTGTAATTCCTGAGCAAACAGCTTTGCTGTGGGAAGTAGGAAAGTTTCCATGTCCTGAGCTTGATCTTCAGCACAAACACAGCTCCTGAAGTGCAGGAGGCCAGGCCAGCATTCCTCAGAGAGAGGAGAGCGGGACTGAGCATGGAAACACTGGGACAGGGACATGTATGGCCCAAGAGGATGAAAGCCTCAGTGGTAATCACATGTGCTCTGATGTTCCTGCAATCCCAGCAGTCACTCTTTGGTTTCTTTCTCCAGGAGCATGAAATGCTCACAGCCATGCTCTCAGCTGGTGGAAACCAGCCTGGCTGCCAGCTGGGGAAGAGATTGTTTGATGGGAAGTGCAAACCTAGACAAGAGCATCAAATATTTCCTTCTCTCTGCTACACTTGAAGACAATATCTCAGGAGCTGTTTTGCCTGACAGATAGCAGACAGACAGCTAAACTACTGCACAATTAGTGGGTTTATGACACAGACATTGATGACAAAGTCCTTAATGTGATCGGTCCTTGTTTACCAGTGACAAAGGAAACAGCAGGTCCTGAGCGTGGAACCTCCTGGCTGGCAGGACAAGGGCCTGGTGGCACATTCCAACTGTTTGTGCAAAGAGAACAGAGCAGAGCTAAGCACTGAAGTCAGCTCCTGCATAGTCACAGGAGCACCTGCAGGCTCAGAGGCACTTGCTGACACCCTGCTGCAACACCCTAATGGGAAGAGCCAAACAACACTGGACTGTGCAACTCGACTGCTCCCGTGAGCTGGGATCTCTGCTGCCAGGCCAGGTCAGCTGCAGCTCTGGTGTACCTTGCAGCCAGTTTAGCAAATGTGATGTCAAAGGACCCAGGAGGAACAGGCAGGAAGGTGGAAAGATGAATTGCTTCACCCTGAAAATCCTAAGTGTTATTCCAAGGTCTCACTAAATGGTTAAATTAGCTGTAATATCTTCTGGCCTTATTTGCTGCATTCAGACAAGAAGGACAGATAACCTCACCCATCTGCATTCCAGTTTTCCCCCTGAGCAGAAAGATAGGCTTCATGTCAGCAAAGAAACTGAGATTGTTCCGTTGGTACATTTTAGGGGTATGTACCCAATCTCCTTTACACCTCAGTGTCCTCTGTCCCTGCATCTGTGTGAGACATGTAGACTGACACCTCTGCTGCTGGGGGTGACGAGCTCTCTGAGGAAAAGGACACTCCCAGCCCTTGGTGGTGACTGTCTGTGTCAGAACCTTCTTCCTCCTCCTCCTCATTCTTTTGCAGATCTTGGTCACTGTCATCATCATCATTAACATCATCTGCTGCGTTGTCCTCAATCACTTCCACCCTTTCTCCAGCCTCGGGGTCCACATCAGTCTTAAACCACACAGCTTTGTAGCCATCATCTGCCACGTGCCTCTCTGTTTTGAGGATTGACTTCACTTCTTTCTCTTGTCCAGCCTCTTCTTCCTTGTCTTCCTCTTCCTGGTCAAAGATGACAGTGGAAGCTATGGAACCCTTTGGGAGACTCTCTGTTTCCTCTGCACTGGAGAAGTGCAAGGCAAGTGCTGGCTGCTCTGGCACAGGAGTCTCTGGCTGGACACTGCTGGTTTCTGATGTCTCATGCTGCTTGGGGCTCACACCTGGCTGTTCATCTTCCTGGTAATACTTGTTCTGGTGACCCTCAGAGATTTCCTTGGAGAACTACAGGAGGAGAGACACGTTGTGACTGTAGTGGCAGGAAAAGAAATGGGGAGCAGGAGAGAAGGGGTGACTGCAGTGACTGAGCTCCTGCTCAAGGCAGTTCAGCTTGGTTTGCAGCCAGACCTGTTTGAAGCCAGGGAAAGCTGCAGATCCCTGGAAGAGACATTCTTATTGGCTCCATTTCTGGAGTTTTCTCAGCTAAGCGGGCTCATTCTCCAGGAGGGCTGAGCACCAGCAGCACACACGTGGTGGTTTGTACCCACCCCATTCTGCAGTGGGATTTCCCTCACTCAGGGTCTTTTGTGACCCACCTGAGCTATGTGCTCTGCACTCAGGTCTAGGCTCCTGGCAGGCCCAGCCTATGGCACAGACCAACATCTGGTCAGACAAATTACACCCTAAACTTGCCAGTGACCAATCTGCCAGGGACCTGAGAGGTCCAAACTTAAATAGCTCAGGTGCAGACAAGTGTCTGAGCCCAGGGGACTCTGTGTGGAGTCTCTTTTATATGAAGGGACTCTCCTCTCCTTTGACTATGGAGGATGGACAGTGGTTTATACCACAAACAGATGTTTTTCAGAGACAGCCCCTGATGTGTGCCACTTTTATCCTAGATTTTGTGCTCCATAGAGCTGTGGTGCTCTTCTTACCATGTCTGCTCATCATCCACCATACAGCTCCAGCCTCAGGGGCAGAAAGAACAGCAGCAAACACCACCAAAGTGGTGCTACCTCTGCAGACTTTGTCTTGGGAGTGATTCACCACCTTCACACAAATGTGGAGTACTTGGGAAGCCCAAAGCTTCCTCAGATCCCACCTTATAACTCTTAGAAGTTCAGGTACAAACAAGGCACTTACCTTTTTCTTTACCAGGTGTTTGAAAGATTTTCTGTGCCATCTACTGGATTTCCATACCAGCACTCCAAGGAAGACTAAGGCAATTAACAGCAGTGCTGCTAATGTGCCCCCTAAGATAGCCATGTCCTGAGCAGAGTACATCTTGTGAGAGGGGGCTACGGCTGTGAGAAAAACAAACCAGTGTTACAAAGCCTAAAACTGGCAGGCAGCATTTTCCAACACAACCTTTCACTGTGGGAGAAGCTCCAATCAATTTTTGAAAGGCAAGGAAGCATCTTGTGCTGCAGAATGTGACAGTCATGTGTCTGATACCACAGAAAATCTTTTTTTGCTGTTCTAAAAGCAGAGGGCTTCTTTTTTAATTACACAGAATATTGTCATTTCCAATAAATTCCATGCAGTGGAAATAGCAGCCATTGACAGGAGAGTGACTTTTACCCCGTGATTTAACTAAGTTAATAAATACCTGACTGCATCAGGCAAGCAGATGCCACATGGAGTAAAGTTATTTAGTTCTTTGATTTTCCCACTTTACCCTTTTACACCAGAATGCAAAAATGAGGTATGTCTGTGTATGAAAATGCAAAGCTTCCTTCCATCTGGAACATCCCCTCCAATGCAGATGAGCACATCAAAATAAGAAACAAAAAGCCAGAATAGGAAATAGGAAAAGCATTAGAAAGTCCCCAGGACAAGAAAACCTTTTTTGCCCTTTTGTAGCTGTAGCAATTTTGCCCAGTCTGCTCAGGGGTAGCTTCTGCTTCCATCCACTGGTCAGTGTCAGGTACTTGTACAGAGACTGACACCAGAGTGGAAAGACAGTACCATTCTCAACTTTGCTTGGTGGTGGTGGAGATGGGCTTCTTTAATTTTTCCAGTTTCATTGTGTAGTGAAAATGACTGTCATTAATGATTAATGAAACAAGGATTTGCTCTCCTGCTGACTTGTTTCTTATAATGGAATTAGAGTATTCCCTCTGCATTTGATTCCACCCTCAGTTTATCATTAACACCTTGGCAAGGATTTAGGACCTCAGGGATTTTTTGCTGCTTCGTCCTGTCTCCTGAGGAGCCACAGGCCACAGGGAGTCACAGAGCTCTGTAATTCTGCATATTCGACAGCACCATTGCTTTGTGTGGCTTAAGCAGCAAGAGCAACATTTCTAAATTGCCCAGAAGTGTTGGCACATGCTTGGAGCATTTGTAATTCTGTGAGCTCACACATGGACTAGTTTTATGCTGTGCTGTGCCCTTAAATGGGGTTTCAGTGGTTTTTAGCTGTGAAGCGGCACTGCCTTTAGGGAATCGAAATTTAGACCCAGGAACCCACTTGTTTTTCCCACACCACAATGGTGGTGATCAGAGGGTGAAGTGATGGAACTTCAATCACACATCATTGTGTAGAATCCAGTGGAGTCTGGGCATTGTCTGCCTATCCTGTGATAAAAATTCATTGCTACTGGTTATCTGAACTTAAAGCATAAGAAGTTTCATGAACTTCAATCCTAATTTATTTATAAGACCAATTTAAGAGTCATTTCTCAGCAGTATGGAAGTGTTTTCACATTGACAAGGTTAAACAATAGCCAGAGGGTTATATATGAAGCCTCATGTCTCTCTTATTACTCATGGGCCGTTTCTCCTGTAAGACCATAAAATCCTGGTGTAAAAGACCCTGACTTGACCTGACCTGAGTAGAAAAGCCTTGGTTCCTGGGCAAGCCTGGCTTTGGGGTGTGCCAGCTGCTCTCTGCCCTGCCTCAGACAGGCAAGAACATTGCAGTTTTCTCTGTGTTTGGCTAAAAAGGAGCAATGATATACCGAGGTCTGCTTTGCCATGAAAATACACCTTGGGTTGTTTCCCAGCATGAACCAATCCCAGTTTTAGCTTTGGAACAAGAAGAAAAAACACTCCAATACACAGCACCACTAAAGTCTCAGGAGGCTTTTCAAGACATGTGGTGACTATGCTGTGAGAACGTTGTTGGGGTGTTTTCCCTCTTAAAGCCACCACAGAACCTCCTGTGGGGTTGGGATTGGCCTCAGCCCAGACCCACAGACTTCAGCAGGTGACCCATTATGGCCAATTTACCACAGAAATAAAAAAGACTCCCCAGAGCAGAAAACAGAGACCCGCCCCCAACCTACCTGTGGCAAGGATGACCTCCACCACAATTATGGTGCTTGCCTCCTGCAGGCTCAACACATCTTTTCCAACAGCCTATGGGAACATGGGAAAGAGATGGCTTAGGGACTTCCAGATCTCCAGCTCACTCTCAAGGTCTGTGGGGGCGCCCTTTGAGGAGAAAGTACCTTGTCCCTGTCCTCACCACAGCCATTCAGTGTGGCTGGACAGCCTGGTCACAGGGGAACAAGAGCTCTGAAGATGGGAGTGGATGAGCTGAACCACGCCCCTGCTCTGTGTTCAGCTCCCAGCACAGGGCAGAGCACAGGTTCTGGGGCAGTGTGGGGCAGGAGCAGCAGGTGTTGGCACCTCTCTGTGCCCGTCCATGGAGCTCCAGCAGTGCTGTGGCCAGGCTGGTTCAGACAGCCCCAAGGACATGGCACTGTACCAGGCAAGCCTTAGGCGGGCATGTGGACAAAGGGAACATCCAGCCTCTTACAAGGCTAAAGTTATTGACAGCTTCTTTGACCCAAGCAAAAAGAGGATTTGGATTCCTCCTTCCCACACCCCTGACAAAATGCCCAAGAAAGGTGCCCTACCTGGATGGTCACAGTTCCTGGGGACTCCAGCATTTTGTTGGTCAGGATGAGCCCATCCCTGGTTGCGATGAAATCAGTGCTGTTTTTGAGATAGTACTCAATGTTGGGGTTGACTTTCTGAAAGGCCAGAGAGTGGGTGATCAAACCACACTGTGCTTCACATGCATCTTCCCAACAACCCCTTGGCAGGATTTGTCCAAAACACCTGAGGTACGAGCAGGTGCGTAGAGTAATAAATAAACCTGGGCTGAGCAGGTGAGAAAGGCTGAACTCAACTGCATTCAGCTTGTGGCTCAGAGGCCAAGAACGTACCACAAAAACCATAAAAAAAATTAAAATCCCAAGTCTTAATCCAGGTTGTGTTGGAAACTTTAGTACTTGTCCAAGCAAAACACATCTATGCAAGTGATGTGTGTGGGGAGTCCAGCAGCTTCTCCCCATTACATCACACATAAGTGGTTCTGGTATCTGTGCAATTTCCAAGGGAATATAACATGGAACATTAGAGGACAACATGTGTTTGCCTCTCCACACCTCCCCTCCCTCGTGTTTCCTGATCCTGCTTTAAGCCTGAAGCAGTGAGACAGATCACAGAGCACTTTTTGTTTCTTACATCAGGGAAATCCTCATCCATTGCCATTATCACCAGGGGGGTGGAAGGATCTCCAGCTTGGTAGACGAAGCTTCTCTGGGGCAGCCCAACAAACACTGTCCCGTTGTAGACCCCCTTCTCGAAGTAGGGTGGAAAATTGCTTTTATTGATGACCTTGATCACTACAGTGGCTACAGAATATTTCCTTATGTTGCTGGCCTGGGTGGCCTGGAGAGAAAAAGAGAGAGATGCCAGATTTCTGCCCTGGTGAGACACGAAAGGACAGGCTTGATCCAAAGCCCGTTGCAATTCCCAACTCAGCAGAACATGCCCAGGGTGAATTTCCTTTGCTGTCACCACCCACACCTGAGGGGAAACTCTCTACTGCTGCAGGAGCTTTGCTTGTGGGTTGGTGCAGGACATAGGTCAAACTGGGCCCTTCCAAAGAAAGGGAGTAACTGAGTCATATTTGAGGCCACTGACTCCTGTCACAGCCAGGCTGCTGGTTCCTGGAAATCCAGCTGTGCTGGGTGGCTGGCTGTAACGTCATCACTTACCATAACTTGCAACAAAAAGGAACCTGGGGACGTCACTGTTTTGTTCATGGTTAGATTCCCTGTGTTTGCATCCATTGAGAACACTTCGTCTGTATTCCCTAGGGAAAATGCAAAGACCATTCAACCATCAAATTCCTTCATAAAGCGACCTGGAGCTCACAGACTCATTCTTCCACGTCTTAGTGAAAATACCCTCAAAAAATGCTGTTTTCCTTGCCTGCCTGGCTGCTCCAAAGACTGGGAGTGCTGGCCAGGGATGCAGAGGGATGCATTAGGTATGTGTGAACCCAATTAAATGAGGTAGAACAACAAAGCTTTGCATTTCCAGTGCCTAGGCCCACAGATTGCCAGTCTGAAGTATGATAAATGCTCAGAGGCTCTGATGCAATTTGAGGACTGAACATCTCCATCCAGTTCCCAGATTGCTCTGGGAATGCTTATTTCTCTATACTGATTACAAAGGGATTCTAAACACAAACCTTGTATTTATGTACAGGTAGAAATCAGATTCCTGCATCTGTATGGGAATCATAGAAGTACCTGTGTTGGATACAGGTAAGATAAGCAGAATTTTTAGTTCTCTTCCTCACCCTGAGACATTGTGGGCTCTCTCTTGACAAGGATCTGAATCACTGACTGTGGGGAGGGAGGCCACACTCCATCCAAATGCCAGTGGAATTTAATGTTCTTTAATACATTTGGCATCAGGAGAACATTCACAACTGTGCTGCCATGAAGCATAATAGGTAAAGGGAGAGGAACACTTCACTTGACCAATATGACCTTGGCCTTGATTCTTCTGGAATCAAGACCAAAACAGGGCAGATGAGATAGTGGCAATGTGCTGGGGAATAAAAACATAATTCTGGGCAATGAATAGAAATTAGGCTGATAATGTGGGAATTTTAGGTACAGCTCAAACACTGCATGGAAGTAGCATGACCAGATTGACAAAATCACATCTAAAAACTTAGACACAAAACATGTCTCATCTCACAAAAAACCAAAATATCTTTTTGAAACAAATTTCATTGAGATCGGTTTGTGGGACTGTAATTATATTTTTTCTTCCTCTCTGTACAGTCTGTTTCTTCTACAACTGTGTTCTGTGGCTCTAGTTATATTTCTGTGGCAGAAACAGAGGGGCAAATCCCAGGCCCTCCCTCTTGGCAGGTACCACAGGAGACATGAGCAACGTCCCTTGTGGAAGGTGATAAGGTCTACTCACCCCCGACAATGCTGTACACGATCCTGTCGCTGATGGTGTAGTCAGGGTCGACAGCATAGATGGGTCCTGGCTCCAAGAGGAGCGGGTCAGTCTGCAACAGCGAAACAAACAATCACACACCACAGGGCAGGGCCAGCTCAGCAACTGGAGCTCTCCCAGCCCACAGCACATCCCGTGGCTCTGCCTAGACAGAATGGGATTTATTGCTGGGAGGTGTCTGTGACAGGGCAGAGGTGAGAGAGCCTTGAGCTGGTGTTCCAGCTCTTGCCTCTCCTGTGATGTGCTGTAGGAGCAGAGACAAGCAGTGCTGCTTGGGGTGGGGACTGAAGATGATGAAGACTCCCTATTCTGAATCATCTGCATTGTACTGGAGACCAGCACAAGCTCGTGGAAATGATTCAGTGCTTCCCACTGGGAACAGCGCCAGGGGCACTGTCTGAGCCCTCCTGCTCACCAATTTCTCGGAGATGTTGACCCTGCCGGAGTAGGGGCTGCTGATGCAGACACTGGTGTCATTGTAGAGCTGGGTGCAGGGCAGGAACCAGGGTGCCCGGGTGTCACTCTGCTTGATGCTGATGGTTATTGTTGCAGTGGCTGTGTTGGTGGGCTCAGGGCTGTTCTCAGGCCTGTCCTGCTCCCAAGGCAAAGCACACACATGAGACACAAGTTTCACTGCCAAAACAAGGGCCCATCTGCACAAAAACAGTGGACTGGGGCCCTTTAGCCATTGTTATTCCATTCTGTTTAATTGGAAATTTATGTGAGAGTAGCTAAAGCAGTAGGTTATCTTCTTCTGCTGACAGAAGTGGGCTGACTGCAGGTCTGTTACTCGAATTATGGAGAGGGAAAGGCTGCTCTGAATGCAACCCCCCAGCCCCCTGGCCCCACCCTCCCTCCTGTTATCTGGGGGATGTCCCATCCAGACTCATCCTTCAGGTAAGAGCGACCATGCAAATGAGGCATTCTGTTTTTCCCAAACCACTTACCCTTGCATACAAGAGCAATGTTGTAGAATTAAATTTGTCATAGTCCAATGCTTTTTGTAAATAAATTTCCGGGTTGTTAACTCCTCGTATGGCAAAATAACCGTCTGTGTTCTGGCAAGGAAAAAGGAAAAATCCTATAGCAGACTCAATAACAGACACATTCCAAATCCTATTCATTGCTGTCTTTGTCATCCCAGCTGGACCTTTAATCTTGAGGAACTTGGATGAGGGGTGCTGTGGGAAAGTCTGATCGACTTAATTTTTGGTACTGCGCACTGGAATTGCCTGGCTTGTCAGAAAGGTTTGTTCTTGTGAATTTCCTCTCACAGACCTCCTGCTTTGACTGCCCACCTGCTCAGCAGCTTCTGGATGAAATAGATTACATTCTTTATTTCCTATATTTAGCAACTTGCCAACAATCCTTGATTTTGGGTCCCTAATAGCCAACAATTTCACTTCCATGCACAAAAAAGGTCAAAGATGGCTCAGCCTTTGAGAGCTGGCAGGATCACCTGCCTTAGCCTAACACAGCTGGACTTTGAAAGAAACTGTAAAGCCGAGTTGAAGTATCATGCATTGCATTTTACTCTATAACCTTCTGCATTTGCTTTGGTTCTCCTTTAATCTTATGCCTTTGAATTTCTATCCCTCTGGATTTACACCAATATGAATGAAGTCTGATCCCAGAGCTGAAAAACTGGTGGTTTCTGTTCACAGAAACTTAAATTCCCTAGGGATATAGAGGTAACAGAGGCACTGTCTGCTCTCTCCACAACACTTTTCAAAAATGCAAACATACATTTGGTTTTTCTCTTGAATTTCATTTTGATTTTAGTTTACAGCCAGCCCTTGCACTCTAGACTGGCATTGGTTTAACTGTGTGCACAATCCATTTCCTGTGCTGCTGTTGGCAGCTAGGGCAAGGACTGCCTTCCCCATCAGACTCAGTGCAATTCTGAGCTCCCTGAGGTACAAAGTCTCCCGATATGTTTTCAGATCATGCCAACAAGACTTTCCTGAATCATTACAGCTCTGAACTTTCTAGATGAAACTTTAATCTGTACAGTGCATTAAAAGTGTGAGCCATAAGAGAATTCAATACCTGCAGCATTGATGGCTCTCTTCTGCTAACCAAATCAATGTTTGGGTTTTGTAAAAGTTGAGTGAGCTAAATGCAGCTTATCCTCAAAGCTGGGGCTCTTCTGAATCCAACTTCTCCAGAGCTACTGTTTGTCCCCAGAGTTGCTCACCTGCACTGTGGTATTGAGTTCATAGTAGATGATGTCTAGGTCAGCATCAGTAGCAGTTACTTCTTCACGGGCTACAATGGTTGTGTCCACTTCTGTAGCCTGAAAAAACACAGTGTTGTAGTTATTGTCTGTGTGAAATGGATGGAAATCCTCTCCCTGCTGACCCTTCCTCAGTCCCACAGCACTCAGCGAGCAGTGCCCTCTTCCCTTCCCAAAACCCCTTACCTCTGGGACATCCCTGGTGATGTTTGGCTGTGGAAATACAGGGTAGTTATCGTTCTCATTCAGAATAGTGACTAGAATTTCCAAGGACTCACTCTGCAGAATGGACAAATCAAAGAATCAAAGACAGAAACAGACTGTTGGGGCTGATTCTGCTTTGCAGAGTGACCAGAGGGGATAGTGTAGGGATGGGGGCCAGATGGGGCTGGGGTTTGCAGCCAGCCCATGTCCTGGGGCAGGACTGTGGGCTTGCTGCCCCCTCCTCCCCACTGGCAGAGCCTTGGCACTCTCTGTGGTTGTAAGAGCGATGTGTCTGTCCACAAAGAGAAGGACATCTGCCCATCCCAGTGTGAGGATTAGGAAGAGAAGAGGGAAGCAGGTGCTGCCTGCAGTGCCTTGTCTCAGGACTCAGCCATGGGAGAGCACTTGCCTGGTCAGCAGGGTCCTTGCAGATCAGGTACAGCAGCAGCACAGGGTCTTCCTGCATAAAAAACAAACCCCTCACTGAAGAAATAACCAAAGAGTACAAACTCTGGCTAAAGCAAATGAGCCAAATTTGTGCTTTGCTGAATCAGAAATGCTGCTGGGCTATATCAAATTTTCAGGTGTATCTAACTTCTCGTTTCTTTCCTTAATGCTGGGATCTTGTATATGGTGACATCAAAGCAGCCCCATCTTTCAGGTGCTCTCCCTGCAATCCCTTAAGATGTTGTCAGAGCTAATTTGCCATTCTCTCTCACCTCAGGTGAATTCAAACAGATTTCTTTTAAAATTGAATAAATCAGAAACATTCTATGCAGCGAGTACAGTGGTACCTGCGGGGTGTTAACTCTGGTAGTTGCTCTTTGCTCAAGTAAAAATGGGTTTTTATATTGAAAGGGAACTTAAGGGTGCCTGTGGCTGTATACAGAGCACTCCAGGAAGCTAAAATAATGTAGCAGCAACCTAAGTGAATACAATGACCTTTTATACTGCCTTTCTGCGTCACACAAGATGACAGATCCCAGAATGATTTGGGCTGGAAAGGGCCTTAAAGCTCACCTCATTCCAACCCCCTGCCATGGGCAGGGACACCTTTCACTATCCCAGGCTGCTCCAAGCCCTATCCAACCTGGCCTTGGACACTACCAGGGATGCAATAGCCACAGCTTCTCTGGAAAACCTGTCCCAGGTTGTCAGCACCCTCACAGGGAAGAATTTCTTCTCAGAATCCCATCTAACCCTGCCCTCTGGCAGTCTGAAGTCAGTCCCCCTTATCCTGTCATTCTAGGCCCTTTTAAATGGCCTCTCTCCATCTTTTTTGTAGCCTCCCAAACTCACACAACTGAAATAACTTATTTCCTCTAGAAACAGGTTAAGAATCCCTGGAAGCCCAAGACTCCAGATTGAAACTCATTGCATCCCAGCATTATCCATCTCATCCTTACAGCCTGCCAGCTAAAGGCTTACCTCATAGTCCACACACTTTGTCAGCCGCAGCTCGGAGCCCTCAATGGTGAAGAATTGGCCATCGGGGAAATTGGGATCAATTGTTAGAGTGAAACCTGGCTGCACTTGTGTGGTAGCCACCACATAAGGACACTTATTTTCAGGAACACTTGGGTTGCTGTTACTGACAGAACATCCTGGAAAAACACACAAATAAGATGCAAAATTGCCCAAGGATTCACATTGTGAAGGGGCAGGGTGAGAGCTGTGGTCACAAACTGTGGGGCAAAGGGGTGTTGGAGTGTAGCAACCTCCCACCTGTAACAGGGCCACCCCCTCCCATGGCAGACATTCCTCAAAGACATGGACCTCGTGAAAGAGCTTACCTGGCTCCTGTGCTGAAATCTGTGCCAAGAGGGCCAGCAGGAAGAGTGCAGACATGAGAAGCCAGTGAGGAATAGCCATGGTGAGCTGCCAGTTGCTGAAAAATCCCTTTTTCCAACTAAGCTGATCTCCCTGTTCTGCCCTGTGCCCTTGTTTGCATTCACCACTTTATGGCATCAAGAAACACCAGCTGGCTGTGGATTGCCATGGTTCAACCTTTGCCCCTTTGCCCCATTGGATGACTTATTGAAGGATTTTCCAGTCATGAAACAAGGAGACACATAAATCCTTGCTGCTTCTTTTTTCCCTGGATATTCCCTATCCCAAACTCTCTGTGGCAACAAGGATATAGTTGAAGCAGTTCAGAACTCAGAGCCAAGCCCTTGCCCAGCTAAGCATGAAGGACAAGGGCTGGTACTTGGGAAGCTGCCTGGAAAGGCAGGGAAAGGGGGGAAATTTGGTTTCTGATGTGCCAGAGATGGGGTCTGTATCCCACAAAGTGAGCAAGTGGATCCCAGCAGTGACAAGGCTCACCTGCAGTCCAGGGAATGTCCAGCAACTCTGTAGGGAAAACGTATCTCCTTTTACTGGTGGCTGCTCCTTGCAGAGATGCTTCCCAGAATCTCTCTCCAGGAGATCCCACACCAGGAAATTTTCAACTATTTGAATCTCAGCAGCTTCCTGAAGTTTTCAGGGGACCTCACTGCTCTCACTGATCTTTTAAAATTCTTTCTGACTTCAGGCAGTTCTCAGATGCTGCACCTGAGCTAGATAGTTATTAACAGCTTACTGAAATCCAGGCTGTCAACACTCATTCCAAAACTATTCCAAAAGGAATCTTTCCAACAGAGACTTCCTATGGACCAAAATGAGCAACTGCCAAGGTTTGTTCAGGTCCTCAGTAAGGGAATGGTGCTTAGGTGTGCATTTGAGTGGAAACAGCTCCTTTTGCGGGTGTCAGGTCCATCACAGATGGTGAAAACTGCTGGAGCAGGATGGGCTGGGCAGGGCTGCACAGCACAGCACAGGATTGCAGCTGAAGAGCCTTATTTTTAGCTGCTCTCCAAAATCCATGGGTTTTGCAGGAAAGCTGGTGTGGCTGTTCCATCAAAGCTGGGGGCAATCTGCCTGTGTGGCACAGGGACAGTACATAAACCTCATTAAGTGGTGTGAACAAATTGTTTCTCATGGAGCTTTGTCTTTAGTGGCTGTGACAAAACTGGGCCACCAGCTCCAGGGGCAGAATGGAGAGGAAACAACTTTTACAATCTGTTGTGCAGCTCTCAGAACATTTATTTGCCATAAGACCTAACATCTGGCTTTGTTGCTGCTACATGGAGCCCTGATTCTGACCTCTGTGCACAGCTGCACTGTAGGCACTCCCCAGTCCCAGCCATGTGTCCCACCATGCCTCATGTAAGGGAATCCTGGCAAAACGCTCCTCTCCCCTGCATTCCTAACAATCCAAGACCTTGTAACAGAACCATCCTTATTCCAGTTTCCCAAAGAGCAGCCAAGGCACAGGCACAGCTAACCATTTTTATTTGGGATCAGCAGCAGGCAGCCAGATGCCAACACAGAGTGGAAGGGATGTGCTTCACTCAGGCTCCATCTACTGACAGCAGTACACAATCACATAAATTTCACTTTGGAGAATCTCAGAGGTTTCATTGGTTTTTGACTGCTTTCCAGGATTATTTTTATTTATTTGCCTATCTCAAGAATTTTTCCTAAGCAAGAGCTTCCCTGTTTATCTTCAAGGCCATACACGTGCAAAGCTGTCTCCTTGGCTGTTTCTTTCCCTTCACCTTCATTCAGAACCATCCATATCTTCCTTCATGTCTGCAACCAGCTGCTTAGAGAAGGGGCAAAGGTACTGGCTGGTAATGGCAGCAGCCTCCCTGGCATCTCTGTCCGAGTGGCTGTGGGAAGGGAAAAATCAGAGACAGTCTATTATTCCTGGGAGCATGAACTGCAGGAAGTGTGACAAGGCCACCCTGTGACATTCCAGGATGATTCCAAAGAGCAGGTCATGATTCTCATAGAAGGATCATGGCTGCCTGCTGCCAGGCACTCTACAAATGCACAGTGGTGTTTCTCCCCATTGTGGACACAAGAAGTACCATGGGCCAGTTTATTCCTCCTAATTACAGTGGTTTAAGAGTGAGATACCTAAGGGAAAGTTGTTGGGCATTAGGAAAAGACAATGTCCAGGTGCTGGAACAACCCATCCTGAGGTGTGCGTTTCAATCAGCAGCTGAATCCAGACAGGGTAGCAAAGGCGTTCTTTCAATTTTAACCATTAGATCACATTTCCTAATGCGCTAAATAATTGCTTCAATTCAGAATTACAACTCTTAGGAAATGATTAAGAAAAGATATTATTTTCCTCCCCTGGGTTTTACTATTTTTAACAACTGACTTTTCTATGGTGGTTCAGAAAAGCCTTCTTTTGGCTTCAGTATTGTGGGGCTCAGAGTCACAGAGGTGACCAATCTCTCCCACCTACCTGGTGTTCAGAAAGCTCTGGTACAACCAGAGAAAGCAAAGTTGCTCAGGTTTGTTTACCCCCTCTCTCGCCTGCATGTCTGTGTTGACTGGGCCAGGAGAGCTGGTTTAGATAAAGAAAATTAATCACAATTTAAAATCCCAAACCACCAATTATGTAACCAAACCACCATCACTGCAGAGCAGCACTTGCAGCTTGTATTGTGCCTGCTGCTGTGCTCACACACACGGCCTCAGCGGGGGCTGCTGGCCCAGCGTGGTAGTGAGAGCCCCAGGTGGGGACAGGGACACCAGAGGTTTCCTCTCACCTGCGCTTGCGGCCCATGAGGTTTTGGATGAATTTCTGAACCTGGGCATTGCCTCTCATCTTGCTGTACTCACTGGTGAAGAGCCCATCCGAGTGCCTCAGGGACCTGCGTGGGGACAACGTGGGACAGTGGCACCTCCCAGCCACACGGGACTCCCCACGAGGGAGGCACAGCAATGCCTCTCCTCCCACCCTACGTGCCCTGTACCCTTCCCCTCCTCATCTGGGGCAGCCGCTGCTGGGGCTGCTGCAGCTGGACAGCTCAGCTCCGTGGGCAGCCCCTCCGAGCAGGGATCCGCATCCTGCCGGAAACTTCCCAGCCCCAGGAGTGGTGTGGCTGGTGCTCACCTGTCCTTGAGGCCCACCAGGTGCTTGACCAGCTGCTGCACGTAGGCGTTGCCATTCATCTTGCTGAGCTCGCTGTGGAAGAGCCCGTCTGCGTGGCGCTTCATCCTGCACCTTGGAACAGGGAAGGGGGGCAAAAGGAATGGTTTAAAAGCACACAAGAACAGGCATTAAACACTGCTGCCTCAAGGCAAGACAGTCCCAAACACGCATGGGCAAGAATTCGTGCCACTTTGGCAAAGTTTCACAAAAAAAGGGGGAAAAAGGGAGTTTAAAAAATGCCTTTATTAAACATCACACAGGAAAACGACCTGCCCTTGCTTTTACTGATGTAATCACCTTGCCACAAGAATGTGGGAATGTGGGGTTATTGATGATTCATCACAAAAGTGGAGAGCAAGAGGCTGGAGAAGTAATAAACAAATATCCAGAGACACAAAGCTGAAGAGCACTTAGAAAAGAGCAGCAAAGAACAGCCCTTGCAGGCGACTCCCTTGGTGAATTTACAGAGTTGGCTATTTCTGGTTATGATTTCATTGGACCGGGCTATTGGAAACAGAAACTCTCACCTTTATCATGCTGCGTTAAGTGCACAGGAGAAAAACAGACTCAAAAGTGTCCTTGTAACTGTGTTTGGCTTTGAGGTCACAAATTTTATTCCGAATTAAATACAATTAATGTTCCCATTCTTAAGCAAGAGAAAACATTTATAGTATTTGCACTCATTTAACTAAATCTGTTTAGGGAAGAAGAAGATCTGCAAGCAAGCAGATGTAAGATCAGGAAGGCAGCTAAAAGGCTGGGTTTTCAGCTAGCAGGCTCTTTGAACAAAAACCATGGGGGAAAAAGGAAGCAAGAGTCCCAGGAAATGCTTACCTCTCCTGGGATGGCAGAGATGCTGAGAAGTGGGACAGCACAATTATGGGAATAATTACTTGCCACAAAGTTGTCATCATGGAAACCATGTTCTCTCCTGAAAAAAAGCATGAAGTTTTGTGAGCAGCAGGACAAGTGGCCTTGGTATGTGTCTAGTGCAGTTCACATGCCCCACAGAGACAGGGCTGTGGAAACACCATTACTGTGTTTCTAAACTAAATAAGGCAGGAATTTCTGCCACCAGAGATAAATATCTGGAGACATCTGCAAGGGGCTTTCAGAAAAAAAAAAATTACATATGATAAATAAAATTCATTCTCATATAGAAGAAGGGCTCATGTGTGCACCCATATCCACCTATCCTCTAACGTTTCAAGAAGGAACAATGAAATAACATGGATTTGCAGTTACAGCAGGCCTTATTTTGTTTTCTTACAGAAATAAAAAGTACTTTTTTTTAATCACAAGCCATGGCATGTTTCCCCCCTTTGTTCCCAGGTTGTTTCCCCCTTTATTCCCAGGTGCTCACCCTTCCTCAAGGATCACACAGCAGCTCTACCTGTAATTTATAATACACTTCTTTATTTTTTACCTTCTTCCTGCAAAGAAACAAGCATTCATCACTGTCCTGCAATCTCTCAAGATAGCACTTGCTGATCCCAAATCAAATCCTCCCACTTGGTTTTTACTTTATTCTGAAGGTAAACAGTACAAAGAACATGAAAGGAGAATGTCCGAGAATTTGGAATACTTTCTAACCCCTCTTCTGGGACAGTTTGTTGCTCTGGAGATGCTGCAAGATGAGAAGAGGCACAAGGACAAGAGAGAGGCATTTATACAGAAATTTATTCACTGTAAACCACAGGACAAATATTTAATGGGGGCTGCAGAGCAAAGAGATGAGAGGATGAAGGAGCCATAAGCTTAATCCCCCCTACACTTTTAGTGTTGTGTTTTCCTGGAGGGGATGGAATAGTAAAGCAAGAAGGACATTTCAAAGATCAGCATCTAACTGGACTCCAAACAAGGCAGACTTTGCAGTCCTGGGATAACTACAGCATCCTTGGCCAAGGGGCACTTGAATCCTGAGCCTGTCTTTCTATCTGCCCAACAGTGTCACACAATTCCTTGACCCCAGGATCTCACTGCAGCATTTGGCCTCCTCT